AGAAGAAGAAGAAGAAGAAGAAGAAGAAGAAGAAGAAGAAGAAGAAGCTAAACAACAAGGAGGACCCTAGGGAAGATGCTTAATCATCATTCAGAAGGGCAAACAGGATAGACATCTAAAGTAAGAGATGACAAGGAACAGGACAGGAGCCTACCACAGAAGACCTGAAAGATTCTACCCAGCAGGGTATCAAAGGAGATACTGAGACTTATAACCAAACTTTGAGCAAAGTGCCAGAATTCTTATGGAAGAAGGAGATAGAAAGACCTGGAAGGGACAGGAACTTCACAAGGAGAACAAAAGAGCCAAAATACCTGGACTCAGAGGGCCCTGCAAAGAGCAATACTCCAACTAAGTATTGCATGGAGAGGACCTAGACCTCCTGTTCAAAGGAAGCCAATTGGCTGTTCAGTTTCCAAGTGGGTTCTCTAGTAAGGGGATCAGGGGATGTCTCTGACATGAACTCAGTGGCTGCCTCTTTGATCACCTCCCACTGGTGGGTATAGCCTTGCCAGTCCACAGAGGAAAATTATGCAGCCAGCCCTGATGAGACCTGATAAGCTAGGGTCAGATAGAAGTGGAGGAAGGCCTCCCCTATCAGGGGACTAGGGAAGGGGCATAAGGGGAGAAGAGAAAGGGTGGGTGGGACTGGCAGGAGACAAGGGAAGGGGCTGTAGTGGGGATACAAAGTGAATAAATTTTAATAAATAAATATATAAATAAAATTAAATTTTAAAAATTAATTATTGTTACATAAGTATATGTATATTTACATATTCCTAAATATATCAGTTCAACCTGAAAAACAAGAAATAGATGTGTCCTTCAAAGCTCTGGATTCTATCCCCAGAAATTCAGAAATGAAATATAAATAATTTAATTTTTAAAAAATAGTGCTAAAATATATGTAACACAGTATTTACCATCTTAAATCTACAGTTCAGCAGTGTCAAGCAAAGTAATATTGTTAACTTTTTTGTGTCACAGAACTGAAATTCTCTATTATCCATTCAAAACAAATTTTTAAGGTTTATTTTTCTTTTACGGTTATGAGTGTTTGCCTGTATGTATACGTCTGTGCAGCATGGGCACGTCTAGTGCCCATAGAAGCCAGAAGAGACTGTTACAGTCCCTGGGCCTGGAATTCAGGTGGTTTTCTGATCTGCCATGAAGGTTCTAGGAATCTCACTTACGCCCTCTGAAAGAGGAGCAAATGCTCTTGACCACTGAGCCATTTCTTCAGCCCCAATGTGACTACTTTCTGTTATGGAATTCTTCCTTCTGCCATTCTTCATGCTTATCCACTTCCATCTTTATCTCCCCCTTTCTTATCTCCCCTCTCTTTGCCATATTCTCCCTCACACACACACAAGCACGCACAAGAGTGTTTGCACACAGATACATTTAGACAACACTGATCATTTCTGTCTCTTGCTTTCTCTTTCTGACCATTTCTCACATTGACAGAAGAAACAGCAGTTGGTAAATCTCTCCCCCCCCAAGGATGGGCTGCTTCCCTGACATGATGACATTCCACCTCAGATAGGAGGGAGCCTCAGGCCCAGTGAGGCACCTAGAAGAAATCTACTGAAAAATACTCAACAGGTTCAGATTTCTGTAAGGAATCAATATCCAATGAAAACTGATTTCTCTTTCCATTCGCAATGGAGAACAAAAGCAGTCCACACTCTGGCCGACCTTCAGGCTGGTGACAGGTGAGGGTTTGTCTTTGGCAACAGAGTAGCGGCTCTGTTTTACCCCTTCCCTATATTAGGAAACTAATAAAAGAGCATGTTGGGGCACATGTGGGGAAAGTGTTGGTGACAGACTTGAACCTAATGTTGCTCTTTTAACACAGACAAAGACAGACCCAGAAGTGTGAGGGATGCTCCAAGACACCCTTAGATATCTTTACATTCTTTGTTCAGCAGGGTGAACTCTCCATTCCAGGGAAGCGCTCCTACCAAAAAGCTGCAATTTATTTTCTGAAAAAGAAAACAACAATGAATATCAGTAGCATGTCAAAAGGAAAAGAAATGCTCTGTTATAAGGTGTCAGCCTAGAGATATGCTAGAAGACAGGTCATCAACTTTCCTAAAACTCCAAGGAGCCCAGCAGGAAGTATGAACTTAAAATCACAATCTGCCAAACAACAGTAAGTAACAAAACAGATATGATACCTGAAATGACATCAGGACATACTTGGGGCTGACTTATATGCCCTCATGAGTGCCTACTGTTATCTGGACATGATAGCCCATTCTAAGCAGAGACAGCTTCAGCCAAATGCAATGGGGCCCACTCTGTTCATTATACTGGCAATATCTTGTTAAATGTATATCAGAGGTTCTCAAAATGCCTCCTGCGAACTTACTCAGAATGAAAATCCCACTGAACCAGAAACTACAAGTAAGGCTCAGCCATCTCCAAGTGGAGCCTCTGTGTGATTCTAGTGTCTTTTCATGTTGGAGACCCACCCAGGTAAATAAAGGAAAGAAGATATCTCTACAGAACCAGTCTCAGCCTCACTGTGGAATCAAGAACTCCGCATTAACTTTGAGATCAAGTAATACAGCCTAAGGCCAAAATTCTTTTAAACAAACCTGTCATTTCATGGCCTTCTAACTCCCTCCCCTTCACAGAAAACCTTGCTTGAGCCCAGGAAACTATAAGCCAAACACTCTCTGAGCAGCTCTCAGCTGATGCTCATGTGATAATGGGAGAATGAATACTGAAGCAACTTTATCTTCAAGGTGACCATTCGGTCTATGCTTAAAAGGGAAGATACTGTCTGGTCTAGATATTACTGAATCTCTAGCACCTGAAATAGGCCTGTTGCAGATGAACAAGTACTTGTGCTAAAAGTTTACAAGAGTGAACCAACAGACTTCCTTCATGCCTGAACAGAATGTATTATTTGCCTCACTAGCTGGGCAAGCTAGTCTCAGTCCAAGCTAGGACAGACTTTCAGTGAACATGGGCTAAGTTTCTCCTGAATTCCAAGCTCCAGAGTTGATGAGAGCCTTGGGTGAGAGTGCCTTGATGCTATCCTGCATCTTCTACTCTAAGGGTGCCAAGGTGGACCTTCTGAGATTCTTCACTGGGAATAGTCCAGACCTCCTAGTGAATATAGGCACCCTAAGATTTTTCCAACTTCCTGGAAGCCTTAAGAACCCTAACAAGAAACCCAGAATTGCTAAAACAATCCTCTACAATAAAAGATCTTCAGGAGGTATCTCCATCCCTGATCTTAAGCTGTACTATAGAGCAACAGTTATAAAAACTGAATGGAACTGGCTTTGAAACAGAATGGTGGATCAATGGAACCCAACAGAAGATCCAGAAATAAACCCACACACTTATGGACAACTGATCTTAGACAAAGATGTCAAAACCATACAATGGAAAAAAGACAGCATCTTCAACAAATGGTGCTGGTCTAACTGGATGTCTACATGTAGAAAAAGGCAAATAGATCCATACTTATCACCCTGCACAAAACTAAAGTCCAAGTGGATCAAAGACCTCAACATAAAACCAGACACATTAAATCGGTTAGAAGAAAAAGTGGGGAAAACCCTAGAACTCATTGGTACAGGAGACAACTTCCTGAACAGAACACCAACAGCACGGGCTCTAAGAGCAACAATCAATAAATGGGACCTCATGAAACTGAAAAGCTTCTGTAAAGCAAAGGACACCATCATCAAAACAAAACGATTGGGAAAGAATCTTCACCAACCCTTCTTCTGACAGACGGCTAATATCCAGTATATATAAAAAACCAAAGAAGCTGAAAAGCAGCAAACCAAGTAATCCCATTAAATAATGGGGAACAGAGCTAAACAGAATTCTCGACAGAGGAATATCAAATGGCAGAGAAACACTTAAAGAAATGCTCAACGTCATTAGCCATTAGGGAAATGCAAATCAAAACGACCCTGAGATTTCACCTTACACCCATCAGAATGGCCAAGATGAAAAACTCAAGTGGCAACACATGCTGGAGAAGTTGTGGAGAAAGGGGAACCCTCCTCCACTGCTGGTGGGAAGATAAACTTGTACAACCACTCTGGAAATCAATCTGGCGCTTTCTCAGACAACTAGGAATAGTGCTTCCTCAAGATCCAGCCATACCACTCCTAGGCATATATCCAAAAGAGGCTCAAGTACACAATAAGGACATTTGCTCAACCATGTTTGTAGCAGCCTAGTTTGTAAGAGCCAGAAGCTGGAAACAGCCCAGATGCCCCTCAACTGAAGAATGGATGCAGAAATTGTGGTACATCTACACAATGGAGTATTACTCTGCAATGAAAAATAAGGAAATCATGAAATTTGCAGGGTAAATGGTGGGACCTAGAAAGGATCATCCTGAGTGAGCTGTCCCAGAAGCAGACACACACAGTATATACTCACTCATATAGACATATATCATAAGATAAACCTACTAAAATCTGTACATCTAAAGAAACTTATTAAGAGACAATACCCTGACTAAAATGCTCAGTCCCCATCTGGAAAGGCAAAGAGGATGGACATCAGAAGAAGAAGAAAACAGGAAACAAGTTAGGAGCCTCCCACAGAGGGCCTCTGAAAGGCTCTGCCCTGCAGACTATCAAAGCAGACGCTGAGACTTATGGCCAACTGTTGGGCAAAGTGCAGGGAATCTTATGTAAGAAGTGGGAAATAGTAAAATCTGGAGAGGACAGGAACCCCACAAGGAGAGCAACAGAACCAGAAAATTTGAACACAGGGGTCTTCCCAGAGACTCATTACTCCAACCAAGTAACAGGCATGGAGATAACCTAGAACCTCGGCACAGATGTAGCCCATGGCAGTTTAATGTCCAAGTGGGTAACATAGTAATGGGAAGAGGGACTGCCTCTGACATAATCTGATTGGCCTGCTCTTTGATCACCTCCCCCTGAGGGGGGAGCAGCCTTACCAGGCAGCAGAAGATGACAATGCAGCCACTCCTGATGTGATCTGATAGACTAAGATCAGAAGGAAGGAGAGGAGAACCTCCCCTATCAGTGGACTTGGGGAGGGGCATGTGTGAAGTGAAAAAGGGAGAGGGAGGGTGGGACTGGGAGGGGAGGAGGGAAGGGCTTATGGGGGGATACAAAGTGAATAAAGTGAAATTAATAAAATAAAATAAAATAAAATTTAAATCGACTTGAAGTTACTTAAGGCTGTGATGGATGGCTCATTTGTCACTCACCTTGTCCAGTACAGAGTTTTTCTGAGTGACGCAGTTTTCAGTACTGTTTAAAGGTTTTTTGCAATTGCTGCGGGAGATCTGAACGTCAATGTTGTATTCCAGGCGGTCTGTGATCTGCCAATGAACAATGGGCCCAATTTAGAATGTTTTGATCTAACTCCCAAATGCTTTGGCAAACGTGTAAATCCTTCTCTCTCTCATCTCTCTGCTTGTATCTCTCCACATATACATGATCAGGGGGAGAAAACGGTGCCATTGCTGAATTCCGTTTCCACTGAGACCAATCATATGAGCCAACTGATGGGAAATACTGGTGAAAAGCCCCCTGAAGGCAGGTCTTTTTAACGTCATCTCTTGCTGCAGAGTCTAGAGCAACAGTTCTCAACCTTTGTGTCATGACCCCTTTTGGGGTTAAGTGACCCTTTCACAGGTTTGCTTAAGACCATCAGAAAACACAGGTGTTTATATTAATTCTTAGCAGTAGCAAAAAATATATAGTTATGGAGTAGCAATGAAATAATTTTATAGTTGGAGGTCACCACAACATGAGTAACTGTATTAGAGGGTGACAGCATTAGGAAGACTGAGCACCACTAGTCTAAAGTATGCCTCAAGACCCAGTGAAGGTCAGGGCAGAAAGGGAAGGATGGTCCCCAGAAACATAAGCTCCCTTGGGGCTGATGAGGATCAATCATACAATCCTCATCCAAAAATCTGAAATCATAAATACTCCAAAAATATGAAAATTCTAAAGCATCAACATGATGCCATGATGCACAGAAATAACCTAGAACCCCTGCACAGAAGTAGCCCATGGCAGCTCAGTGTCCAAGACAGTTCCCCAATAATAGAAATAGTGACTGTCTCTGACATGAACTCATGGGCTGGCTCTTTGATCACCTCCACCTGAGGGAAGAGCGCCCTTACCAGTCCACAGAGGAAGACAATGAAGCCAGTTCTGATGAGACCTGATAGACTAGGGTCAGATGGAAGGGGAAGAGGACCTCCCCTATCATTGGCCTGGGGAGAGGGGCATAGAAGAAGAAGAAGAAGAAGAGGGAGGGAAGGTGGGATTGGAAGGGGATGGGGGAGGGGGCTACAACTAGGATACAAAGTGAATAAACTGTAATTAATAAAAATAATGTTCAACGTGCTTAGTCATCAGGGAGACGCAAATCAAAATGACCCTGAGATTTCAACTTTCACCCATCAGAATGGCTAAGATGAATATCTCAAGTGACAACACATGCTGGAGAGGATGTGGAGAAAGGAGAACCCTCCTCCACTGCTGGTGGGAATGTAAACTTGTACAACCACTTTGGAAATCAAGCTGGCACTTTCTCAGACAATTTGGAATAGAGATTCTCCAAAATCCAGCTATACCACTCCTAGGCATATATCCAAAAGATGCTCAAGTATACAACAAGGACATCTGCTCAACCATGTTTGTGGCAGCTTTATTCATAATAGCCAGAATCTGGAAACAGCCCAGATGCCCCTCAGCTGAGGAATAGATACAGAAATTGTGATACATCTACACAATGAAATATTACTCAGCGATAAAAAAAAAAAAAAACAAGGAAATCATGAAATTTGCAGGTAAATGGTGGGAACTAGAAAAAATCATCCTGAGTGAGGTATCCGCAAAGCAGAAAGACACACAGGGTATACACTCACTCATAAGTGGATACTAGACATATAATATAAACATACTAAAATATGTACACCTAAGGAAGCTAATCAGGAAGGAAGACTCTGGCTAAAATGTTCAATCCCCATTCAGAAAGGCAAAAAGGATGGACATAGCAGGAGGGAGAAAACAGGGAACAGAACAGGAGCCTACCACAGAGGGCCTCTGAAAGACTCTACCCTGCATGGTATCCTCTTTACCTGGTAAGGCTGCTCCCCCCTCTGAGGAAGATGTTGAGACTCATAGCCAAACTTCAGGCAGAGTACAGGTAATCTTATGAAAGAAGTGGGAGATAGTAAGACCTGGAGAGGACAGGAGTGCCACAAGGACAGTAACAGATTCTAAAAGTCTGAGCACAGGGATCTTTTCTGAAATTGATACTCCAGCCAAGGACCACTCATGAAGATGGCTTGGAACCCCTGCACAGAAGTAGCCTATGGTAGTTCAGTATCCAAGTGGCCTCCATAGTAATAGGGACAGGGACTGTCTCTGACATGATTGGCCTGCTCTTTGATCACCTCCCCCAGAGGGGGAGCAGCCTTACCAGGGCACAGAAGAAGACAATGCAGCCACTCCTTATGAAACCTGATACTAGGATCAGAGGGAAGGGGAGAAGGACCTCCCTTTTCAGTGGACTGGGAGAGGGACACAGGTGGGGAAGAGGAAGGATGGGAATGTGAGGGGAAAAGGAAGGAAAGTACAGGGGGGATTCAAAGTGAATAAACTGTAATTAATAAAAATAAATAAAGGTTAAAAAAAGAAAGGAGTGACAGAGGAACCTCAACTTCTTTTAGAAACACAAGAATAAAATCACTACACAATAAATAAATAAATAAATACATAAATACATAAATACATAAATAAAGTAAAAATTTTAAATTAAAAAAAAACAAATTTCATACAAGACCGTATGCCACAAGTTACAGTCAAGACACAAGCACACCCTCTAAATATTTATTTTATGCCCACAGATTAGCACAGCTCATGGCCTGGGACAGACTTCTGTTTTCGTTACTGAGAGTTAATACAGACACCCATACCAGTCTAAGTGCTGAGAATAAACAATTCATCAATGCTCAACCCTAAATTGGACATCACCCCCCCAAAAAAAAAGATCAAGAACATCATAAAAGAAAGCACAAAAGGAATATAGGAGACAGAGGATAAGGGGGGGTGCTGGGAAGTATTGTCTTCTGGATGTGACCCGGCCACAGCTTTCGTGCCCTTGAACACACAGCAGGAGTGGCTACCTGCACAAAACCAACACAAGATTGGACCACATTACATCATGCAGGGGAGGAGCTCATGAGGCCCCAGCCCTTCCTGGAGAGCAATGTGCAGGCAATGTCTGCTGGGAGAAAGAAATTATATTCCTCGGTGGCTGCAGCCTCTGTTAAATTGCCCTTGCCTCAATAACTCCCCACCCATGTTTAAGCAGTGGGACACACACACGCACACAAACCATGAAGACATGAAGATAGGAAGGATATCAGGGGAGGGACTAACATGATAATGAGGGATACAGTCAAAGTACATTATATATACATATGAAGTTGTAAAACAGTAAACAAAATTTAATGCAGGCATAGTAAGAATCGCATGTAATTACCTTCAGGCTATGTGTATAAGAAGTACATGGAACATGAAGGGATTTTATCTTAGATTTGGAACCTATTTCCAAACTATCTCCTTATGTGTGAACAAATTTTACAAAATCCAAATCATCCAAAATCTATCCTGTCCCCAGCAGTTCAGGTAGAAGCTCCTCAATCTTTAATGATTTCTTCAGACTCTCACAGTGCTGGTGCTACTAGGCTCTAGTTTCAATGTCTCTACAGAGAAGAACTCAGTGAATCCTTAGTCCTCCAGAGGAAGGGTGTCACCCTCCCTTTTTATTTTCAAGTGCATAAAAGGCACAGAGAATTTGAGTATGGATCCAGCAGCTGATCCAGGTTTCTAAAGGAAGGCTTTCAGCCCTAGGGCTCATGTCACATGCCCACCAGGTTCATCCATCTGCCATCTCTGCCAAGCCAGCCTGGAAACATGAGGCCTTTCTTCTTGCTGGCTAGAGAGTAATGAGAACCTAAGCCAAGAGGCTAGACCATGCTGTCATATGGGCATCCTGGCTATACCCTCACAACCTATTTCTAAAAATAAGCTAACCAGGATGCTGTTTTTTAAATCCAAATTTGGGAGCTTGGGTCATAGCACAATAGCAGAAGGCATTGTGAAAATGCTTGGTTTGACCACAACACAATAACAACAACAATAATAACAACAACGAAGAAAGAAAAAGGAAACTTTGAACCTCATATTTGATCACAGGAATCCGAAGTGCTTCCTAACCTAAATATTTGTGTGAGTTCCTCCCTTAAGGCCAAACATGGCACAGTGCCATGCTGGAAGCCTCACAGAAGGATTCTAGAATGCCTGGCTGCACTCTCCCACTCTCGTGTCCTTGCTCCTTCCTGCCGTCCTCTTGCAGCAGATGCTATCAGTATTGTTCCCAAACACAGTGCCAGCTCCGGTGATTATTGCCAGAAACTTCCTGCTTCCAGCAAGGATCAAGGGCTCTGGCAGACATGGACAGGATGGAGCTGGTAGATAAACAACCCAACCACCCACATAATGACCCAGCTCTAAGTACACACTGTGTGTGTGTGTGTGTGTGTGTGTGTGTGTGTGTGTGTGTGTGTGCGCGCGCGCGAGCTCTCGCATCCCCAAGGTCAGGAAGACCAACTCTGTCAGTCTCATTAACTCACCCTTGCGTCGACTGCCTCCTACTGCCCCCTCTCCTTTCCCCTCGACCTTTCCAATGCCTCCTGGATGGCCTCTAAAATACAGCACCTGCCCCTGAAGCTTACCATGATGTTCTGCTTCTGGGAAGATGCTAGCAGCAATTGCATGCTGGATTGGCAAAAGCAAGCAAGTGAGCTTCCTGGAGGCAGCCCACCCATTTGTGCATGGCTGAGGGTACATCCCTGGTTTAAGCAAAACCTCAAGAGATTTTACCTCATGACTGCTCATTGGTACTCGATTGCCTTCCTATGCTTGTCTCATATACCTGGCACAAAGCAGTTGAGCATGAATAGAGACTTTCACTGCCTATAACATATTATTCCTCTGTAGGTGCTATGCTTTCTGTTGTACAGATTTCTACAGATGATTCCTGAATTGATTTAAGTAACTTCTACGCTCCTGCGATATAGCAAAAACTCACAGAAGCTCTATGAACCTCCTTGTGTATTACACCTAGAATGAAAGCAAGATTGAAACAAATTAATAATCAAGGAAATACATAGGTTTAGTCCAAGGATAAGGCCCAGGTATGCACCATGATAAGAAAGACCATATGAACACAGAAACAAGGAATAAGTGGTTAGATACACAAGACAAGACAGACACCTGTTTCTTAGAAAAACCTTGACATAGTAAAGCTATCCTTTGAACACATATTGTACATATAAAGTAAGGAAAAGATAAAACTTTGGTTTTGAACTTATAATGAGTGTATAGGTAAAACCATTGCTTTAAACTTATAATTATTAAAAGTATCTAGCTAGAGTCCTGATAAAAGAACTTACAATCAATAATCCTACTGTAACCCCTTTTTTGCGTAACGATTGTATCTATTCTTAAATGAGATAATTTTTCCATACATAGAAAACCTTTGTCTTAGAGGGTATAAAACCCAGGACAAAAATAAAGATGTTGTTGGTTGATTGGAGTTTTCCTCCACCCACCACCCACCAAATACGTGTCTGTCTGTCTGTCTTACTGTGTTTATGTTCATATGTATGAATGTCTGGTTGTCTGTATGTCTGTATAAATATGTATATATATGTACAAGTGTGTAAATATCTGTGTATAGGAATGATGTGCATGTATGAAAGGCATCCTCTTGAATGTATTATGAATGTGTACATGTCTGCATGTCTGGTTGCTTGCCTGTTTGAATGTATGAACATTCATTGTTCATACATGTTTGAATGTTGAATGTATGAACTCTAAAGAGTAATTTATCTGGCCAACTCTGCATACATCTCCTCAATCTTTTCCCTAACCATGTCAAAGCTGAGCTTTGACAGGAAGACCCACCTCCCAACAGATCCCCCCACACCATTGACTCCTGCCCAACTTCAGGACTTGTCTTCAAGGTCACTGCTGAAAATGACAGCTCTTACCAACACTATGTCCTGACCTCATCTGAAAGAGCTGAGCACCTGCTGAAACCTCCACTCAAAGACTCACATTTTATTAGATTTGCTCTCTGTAGTAGGGTATTTATACATCTATAGGTGGAAAAATTGTCTAAGAGGACTTCTCCTAACAACACAAAACAGACAGAGTTCTAATTCCTGGCAGAGAGGTTTTCGTTTCAGACGTCTGGCTCTCTAAGGTCTGTGATGAGTGTTGAGCATTTCACCATCCCACCTACAGCAGCTAAGACAAAAGTAGCTTGTGAGAAACTACTGATAAATGCATGCACTACCCAAGCACCAAAGAAAGTGAAGCGGAGGCTGTAAAGGGGGGATTGTGGAGTACCACCAGTCAGGAAAGGGTGCTGACTCATCAGTTGTGAGGCACCCATGTGGCTCCTCAAAATACGAGGTTAATGACGTGTTTTCCTGAGGTGTGGCAGCATAAGTTCTGACAACAGTGACCTAGCTGTTGAAAAGTCACACCACCAGCTGTGGGAACTATTTTTAATTCCTGAGTGGCAACACTGGAGGGATTAATACTTAACCAGCATTAAGTACTGTGCTGAAAAAGCCAGGACACACTGCGCCAGTTGATTTCATGTGAACAGTGCTCCCTAGAGCTGGGTAGTGCATGGCTTCATGAAAAAGACACACCTTTATGATAAAACCAGAATTCCTTCCCTTCTGCTAAACGCACATTGGATTAAAGCATTAATGCAGTAGCTCATCAGCTAAACACACATAGCACTCCTGCAGAAGACCTGATTTTTATCTTCCAGGACTCAAATGGGTGCCTCACAACTGCCTTAATTCCAGATTCAGAGGTCCAGGAGGCTTCTGCTGTCCTCCATAGGCACCTGTACTCACCCGCCACACCCCCCCCCCCACACACACACACATGCATCCACATAATTAAAATTTTAAAGTAAAAGAAAAAAAAAAGGCAGGACACGTAAGTAACTTTTCCGATAGACAGTTCCAGGTCTGTCTTCATAGTGTTGCATTCCAACGTTACCTGGCTGGCTTCAAATGTTGTCTGTGGCAGCATTATTACCAAATATTGTTGGTGCTTCATTTTATTTTTCCAATCTCAAGAAGCACAAGAGCATTTGATTTGTGGTTCAGAGTTACTAAGTTAATATATGTAAACTATTTAGAAGCTGAGCCTAGCATGTGTAGGAAGCCCCATGTGTGTATGCTGTTTTTGTTACGGTGAGTGGATGCATTAAAAAGTCACACATTTAGAACTGTGTTGTCAGCTTTTGTCTCATTTGTCTGCTCTCTCACCCTGGCCCAGACCTGTGCCACCATATGTAAACACGCTGAAGGAGTAGAAATTTCTCACCTGAAGCTTGGCATGCAGTGTCTTATCCACCAGGAAGACATATTTGTCCTCGCTTTCCTTGTTGTATTCTTTCACGGCGAACCATACGCACTGCTTCACATTGGCATTTGAGGTATTGATGGATTCAAAGAACCTCAATATCTTCACTTCATTCTTGGATTGATCCACACCAACTGCCAGGGCTACTGGAATGAGGAGGAGCAAGGACAGCCACAAGGATTTTGTCATGGCCCCTCAGTCAAAAGGCACAAAAGATGTACTCCAGGTCTCCTTGGGGCTTGAGCTGCAATGGGGCAGCCAGTGCTGCCACTGTAGGACTGTCAAACTAGAGAACACAGAGAAAAGCTCTCTGAAGACTGATGGTGTGTCGGGCCACGGGTATGGCTATAGAGGGTTAAAGCACTTGATGATGAATCTGAAGACCTGAGTTCAAACTCTGGGACACACATGTTGGAAGAAGAGAAGCAACTCCTGCAAGTTGTCCTCTGACTTCCCATGCATGTTACAGTATGTGTGAGGCATATACAACAGAGCCTTGCAATGAGAAAATGTGTTCCTTAAGAAACAGTGATCATATTCAAGGAGGCTGAGACAAAAAAAAAAAAAAAAAAAAAAAAACATTTAAAGGCAAAACGAGGAGGATTATATGAGACTTTTGAACTGAAGCTGTAGTTGGAAGAATCAGGAATGAAGGTGGCATGAGTCCAGGGTCAAATACACAATAGTGAGTAGCTGTCCTTGAAGGTGTATCTTATGTGAAAGGCTGAATAGCCTTTGTGCAAGATTATGGTCCTGAAGGAGTCTTTGAGAACTGCTTTTGTTATCAGGCACATAGCACAAGGTCAGCCACCTCACCATAGCCTCCAGCTTTATGTTTCATTTATGTATCTGGTTAAAGCACAAGATGACTCCATTTGATACTGAAAAACTTTGCAGCTCAAGGATCTTACAAAAAAATCCACCTCCTCAGTATCAGCATACCTGGATTCAAGACATGGTTCTGTGGAACACCCTTGAGAGCCACCTCTCCCCTGTCTAAAAAAACCTAGCAACAGCACTCCCAATTAAAAATGCTCTGCCACTGTCCTTTGCCTCTTGCCTCCATTCTGGGTACAATCCATTCATCTAGAGAAACATCCTGAAGTGTTTTCATATGGCCCCATGCCTGCCACCACCAACTCTGTCCTGTAAACTAGAGCTATGAAATGCTGGTGTGCCCCAATCTTCTCTGGTCCTACCCTTCTGTGACTATCCAACCTGCTTGTCCTGATGAGCTCCTTCCTCACTCTGGCCACCACAGCTGTGGTTCTTCTGAGTCTACAACATTCTCAGCTCACACTTATGCCCTGACTGGGCAGTCCTGTAAATCCTGACCTTGAGGCCCAGGCCCTACAGGGAGGCCATGCTTTGTGATGCAATATAGCACACGTGACCCCGCCTCACTGCAGCATCCTTCATCTGCTGGCCTCTAGCATTTGGGTCCAAGCAGCTCAGAGGGTTGGAGACAGCAGGCAAGCACCTTCCACTTAGGAAATTCATGTGCCCCTTTGTGCCTTCCGCAGTCTACCAAATCTGGACCCTGGGCTCCTGTGCTTGGGCCAACAGCTTCTCCCTCCTCTGGTCTACCAGACCTGGGCCTGAAAGGGAGGAGGCGGGCTGCATATGTGTGCTCTTACAGATCCTGTTTCTTGGTGAAGGTCCCAAATTCAGGTCTAGTAAGCTTCTGGAGGTACAGCAAAGTGAGTATTCACCCTAGGTTGCAAAAATTGATAGTATTTTGACCATGCAGTATAGATAGGATATAGAAAACTGGTGAGCCAACCCACCAGAACGTATTCAAACTCTCTACCACTGGATTTTTTTTGGTGGCTTTCTATTCTCTGCTTTGGCCAACAGTACTGTAGGAATGATTCTTCAGGATCTGTGAGAAATAATGCAAATAACTAGGTGGAGACTTGTGTATAAGAGCCACACAGAAAAGCTAATTTACTATTCATTTCCAAATCTCTAAGAATATATTCGTGGTTTTTCTAATTTTACTCCCTGTAAAAAGCACATGTGGGCCTATAGAGCTCTCAGCAGTTAAGAGCACTTGTGACTTTTCTTGAGTACCCAGGTTCTGTTTGCAGAACCCACATGGTGGCTCACAACTGTCTGTAATATTAATCCCAGGGGAGCTGACACCACCTACTGACCTTCTCAAACACCAGGCACACACGTGGTACAAAGACACACATGCAAACAAAACACTCAATTACATAAAATAATAAAATTAATAAGTCTTTTTTAAAAATTAAGGAATTTGGGGGACTCTTGATACCCCAGACCATACTTTACCAATAAAATTAGACCTGGAAGCAGAGTCAGAAAACTAGCAGTTTTTAAATTTCCCCAGGGGTGCCAACTTTAAGAACTGGTAAAGGGCACCTTATTTTGATGATGCTAATGTGAGCCTGAAGTCTTTCAGACCCTGTTCAAACATGAATGTTAATTTGTGGGTTGGGAACCTGGCCTGAGATTCTGCATAGAAATCACTCCTATTTCCCTTTGTGGCAAAAGCAATTATAGTCTAGATTCTAGACATTCTGCAAAAATCCTGAACACAATACACTATTGTTTACTCCAGTGGCACAGAATCACTGATCTCTAGATATGTTCATCCTACAGATCTACTTTAAATCTTTGACTTATGCTCATCCTGCATATTGGCTTTGTATCATTGACTTGCTTTTATCCTACAGATCCATGACCAAGGTAACTTATCAAAGAATGCATATAATTTGGGGCTCATGGTTGCAGAGGGAGTAGGAAGGCAAGCATGATAGTGGAACAGTAACCGAGAGCTTACAACATCTGATCCATAAACAGGAGAGAGGAGAGAAAGAGAGAGAGAACTAAGTGGGAATGGCTGGGCTTTTGAAATCTACAAGGCCAATCCTCTTTCAACAAGTGACACCCCTCCTCCCACAAGGTCCCACCGACTAATGTTTTCCAAAGAGTTCTACCAGCTGTGGACTAAGTATTCAAACATATGAGCCTATGGGGGTCATCCTCATTCAAACTACCACAATAGGGTAACTTCTATATCATTATCTTTGCTTAGCATGGTGGACCTTCAGTCTTTCCATGCTGTCACATATAGTAGAATCTCATTCTAAGACTAAATAGTATTCCTTTGTGTGTATGCAGCACATTTTCTTGATCGGTTGAGTCATTCACAGACATTTTAATGTGTCTCCTTCAGCTGTTATTAGTACTGCTTCAATAGGAAAGGAAGTACAGACTCCAATAAATCACGATTTTATCTTCTTTGGGCACATATCCAAAGGAGTGACTTCAGTGGAAAAAAGTCTCAAAGTTCCTAAAGAAATTTAAAAACAATGCTACTGCACAATTAAAGCTGTTTCTTATGTAGCTATGTCTTACTTTGTTCCTTTAATTTTGGAAAATATATCTCCATTTTTTCCTATAATGTTTACCCCTCCATTGGAGACTACTGCATATTTTTACATGATGAAGAGGGATAGTGGCAGTGTTTATGTTCTTTCTTTCTATTCCTAGCTTTATTGAGATATAGTTGATGGATAACAATCATATTCTTTTAGAGAGATGTGATATTTGATGTAATCTTACATCAATGAGATGGTTACCATAACAAGATAGTTATAGTACCTGTAAAGCACCTCACATAGTTACCTTTTCTTGTGGTAAAAACATTTGAAATTTACTCTTACTGGATTTCAACTAGTAAATAAATTATCATGAAATATAACCATCCAGAAAATTTATTTTGGTGTTTTGAGACAGGGTTTTTCTGTGTAGCCTTGGCTGTCCTAGAACTCACAATTGTAGACCAGACTGGCCTCAAACTCTAAAGATCCACCTGCCTCTGCCTCCCAAGTCCTTCTGTGGGCACTATGGCTACTATGAGCAATGCTGCCATGGTTGTGGGAATGCAGACATAAACATACTGATTTCATTACAAAGCCACTAATTTGATTTCATCAGAAGACAAGGGTAGTGAACACAGCATGTACAAGCCCTAGCAATGAGCTCTGAGTATTGACTCAGTGAAGTTGACAAGATGATCTTGTTTTTCATACTATAAGGGCTACGATCAGCGAAATGGGGATCACAAGCAAAAATTTGCAATTAACGCATGGTTTTTAAGATACTGGGAGTTCTTCAGAGAGCTACCTTACAACTTTAACCACAAAAGCCAATCACCTAATGTAGTATATCCTGAGGAAGTGGGATCTACATTTTTTTACTTTGTAGAGATAGGTGTTTGGTCTAATCTTTCAGAGAAATGTAAAATGAAACAAAAGGATGTTGTATGTATCAATGCAAAAAGCAAAAGTCATATCATGAAAAGTAAGGAAGTCAGGGACCTTCCTCAGGTGAACTAGAAGTTGTTGGTAACATTTTCTTGCTTAGGAACAGTGATGATCAGAAAGCACATTGGGTGCATGGACAAGAGCTCCACCCTCCAATCTTAGAGCACTCATAATAAGAACCCACCTGTGCTGACCACATACGTGCAGCATGATAATTGAAGCATGCCAGTTGTTGAGATGAGAGGGCCAAAGCCAGGTGTTGTGCTACGTTAAGGGAGCTGAGCAGAAATGCTTCTGAAAATGTTGTCATATGAGTGCTATGGCAAAGTCACAGGAATGGGAAGGCCTGGAAAGAACTGACTCTCTACCATAGAGCACTGCAACTGAAGTTTCCAGAGACTGAAAGTAGAGGAGAAAGATCACCCAGCCTTCCCTTCTGAGTACTCCCCCAGACAATACTGCCACTGCCTTCCCTAATCTGCCAAGTCCCTCCAAGGCCATTCCTAGAATCGTGAGGAGGGGGGTTGAGTGTTCCTCGGCCTGGAGGCAGAACAGTGCCTCTCTTGGTACAGTGAATGGTGCTGACAGCCATAGAGACTAGAATAGGATCTGGGTGGGGAACATGGGCTTCAGGGAGCAGGTAAGAACACTGAGACTAAGCTATGAGAAAAATATTCTTGTCAGCAGCCATCAATGTCCTCAGGGGTAGAATCTTTGTCATTGTCAGTACCCATCTCTCTCACACACACATGCACACACACACACAAACACATGCACGTGGGGCTTGTTCCCAATCCTCTGCAGAAGGATCATCCACTGTGATCCAGGTTCCTGAGATAAATGAGGTGGACAGCAGGTGGCTGTCCCCTAGAAGAATGTTCTGCCTTCCTTCTGAGCATATGAGTGAGGGGTTTGGAGAAATTGTAGAATGAATGAATGAACTACATACAAATATGGAATTATAGAAAAACGAATGAAATAAACAATGAGCTGCTTCACAGACTCTACTCAAGCACTCTGCACCTACATATAAGGTGATAGTAATGACAGGAAAATCTCCATTGCTTATGATTTATAGTGGTGTCTGCGGCAAATAGACAATACAGAAAATCCTAAAAATGATTCAGGGATCCAGAATGCTCTGCAAAATTACTTTAATTGTGCCACTACTAAAGAAACCCTAGAGTACATGCAGTCACCCTTTAGAGGAAAGAGGACTTGAACTGCAGTTACACAGAGACTGCTGCCCCACTTAACTCTGTGCGCAGGTGCTGTTCAAGACGACAAACTGCGTCACCCATACTATATTCTTCAAAATATAAGTGCAGCGTACCTGAAAACAAAAGTTACAAAGCATAAATTAGAAAAAAGCAATGCATTAAGGCTATCTAGAGAGATTAAAAATTAAGTTTAAAATAAAGAAAAAGCTAAATACATTAATCTAGAGCAAAACTCATGAGGCTCAAAGTTCCATCAGGATAAATGACATAAGTCACAAAATCTCCCCACCTGAGCTCAGGGTTTCCTCAAAATGCACCTGGCTGGGGCCATCACCCATTCATTCTGAGGCATTCTGTCCTTAACTGCTTCCCAACACATAGGGTGATCGATGAATTTCTAACCTTTCCCAAGGGTCCCAGGGAATTGCTTGAACACGATCTGTTTAGGAGCTTCTCCACAGAAAATCAGCACAAGCTCACAAGTGAGGCTACACGAAGGCTTGTTAGTTGGAAGGTGAGACTCACCCACTTATACAGTGTCCCTAATGGAGAACAATCTTCAAGGTCCAGGATCCCATAGATCACATGTGAGCTATAGGACAAGGTTCTCATCAAGAACCACCCTTAAGACCCATAAGCTGAAAGAAAAATCAGACTAAACAGTTCTCTTTCTCAAAAAACTAAACAATGGAAGACTGATGACTGCTGGGAAAACATGATCATCCTGAACCCCAAAGGTCTTTGAAGGCATAGGGCTAGAACTACAGGGGAGATTCCAACATAGAGACCACATGGGCATCTGCAGGTTGCCTGTGGCTAGCCAGCTGAGATAGGAGCAGAGGACTGCCCCAGCACTGGGAGACAGACTGCCAGATGCTCTTTTCTGCATTCTTTCCCAAAAGATTGCTGATAGAAGAAGTTAATTTACTCTCAAACCTTTTTCTCTTCTTGGCCTTCCTGCAATGGGCAATTGTCAATGTCTTCATCATGTTTCCCACAAGTTGTGCGGCCCATCTCCAGGTCTACTAAATATATGAATGCATATCTCTGTCAAAAGAAAGACTAGAACCGTAAGAAAACATTTCATTGGAATAAGTGAAAGAGAACTCAAAAGCAAGCAGGAAATGTGAATGTTCAAACAGAAATGAGCAGCATAGATCACTTACAATCTTGTTTCTCTGCTATTCTATGGGGGAGGGGCTTTGTGGGCTTTTCATTGTCTCTGTCCCTGTGGCTGTTTTAGACAGAGTCAGTATAGTCCAAAATGACATCCAACTTTCAATCTCCCTCAGCTTCCCAAGCGCTAGGGTTACAGTCACGCTCTTCCACAGTCCACCTTGTTTTGCTCTACTAGTTTTTCAAAATTTCCTTTAACTCCACACAAGAGATACGTCCATGTGCCTGAGTATATCTCTCAGTTGGAAAGTGTGTACTTAGCATGCTCAAAGAGCAAAGTGTGATTCCCAGAGCTTTCAAATGTCTATTAAGTACAAGCACAGTAGCAATGAGTCTCCCTCTCTGTCCATTTTCCCCCTGGTAGATGCCTGGCAGTCTTTGTGACAGAGTAGTGACTATCCAGGGTTCCTCATAGTCACACAATCAAACCCATAGCAAAGAGTGTGTACATGGGCCAGCCACACACATGACACTATGACAGCTGTCAAATGTTCACCTAAGCAGCATGAGAAATACCGACTGAGTGAGTAACTCCTTGACCTAGAGGACACAGGATGGTGAGACATCCTGGCATGAGCAGGTAGAGCAGAAATTATGCCAGCCCCTTTAATTTGTATCTATCATGTAGGTGCTGACCATACAGAACACTCACCTTTTGCAGAAGCTGAAATGAAGTGGCTAGCGAGCAATACCCCAAAGCTATTCTCAGAATTTATCAAAATGCTGCACAGGATATTTTCATAAACAGAGGTGCTTAAAAACTCAAGGAACATTCAAACATGGAAAAGAAGAAAATCTAACCAAGGAACCCTCCCAGTCCCTGTAGTGCTAAAAGCCTGACTTTGACTAGGGTATCCGGTCAACGGCATCTCTACTCCTTCACCTTGTCCTGTCCTTCATCTGAAAGCAGAAGGCGGAAGCAGAAGCCACATTTTTCAACTTACTGCAAACCCAGAGCCCCCCGCAACTCTGCCAGGTGTTAGCATGAATGCAGACACCACACAAGAAGCAGGCTACTCACCTCACGCTGACTTCTCCAGACTCTCAGTAACTTGTAGGCAAAATCATCATCGTGGTTTTCATTGAAGTGGTGCAAAACATGCTCCACAGAAATGATAAAACGATCATTGTCTTTGTGAATATCTATAAATTTGAGGTTGCAATCATGAATTGCCAGCACAATGAGCCCCATAACAAGGTCCACCTTCCACAACATAGCTGTCTTCAGTATCAGCAGTGGGAGTTAAGAATGCGTGCATGGAGGAGTGGCTCAGCTGCAGATGGTGATGCAGTCCCACGTGGCCATGCCCACTAAATGCTCTGTAATGCTAAAAGCCTTTTTTTGTATAGGGCATCAGGCCAGAATCATCTCTCCTCTCCCCACCTTTTCCTGCCCTTCATCTGAAGGTAGAAGACAGCAGAAGAGGCTACATTTTCCAGACTTTGGTGACATGAGCCTCAGGCTTATAGGCATTAATTCAACACACCCTTTGCCTGCACATTTCTAGGCCTATCTTCCCCATTCCTGCCCTAGCTTACTCTTACTCTTCTGAATTCCACAAATGGCAGAGCCATAAAACTATCATGAGATAAGGTAGGAAGGTAAGTCTTAAGTATTGGGAGTTGAGAACCAGGTGCTCATGACCTTGGAGCCTCAGAGGAGCACAGTAGGAGGGGTCAGAGTCAGGACCAAGAGATCATCTTCTCCCCCATCTCTGCAGTCTAGTGACCAACTCATCACCCCTGCCTCCTTTCCTGAGGACTGCCCTGCCTGTGATTTGCAGCCCAATACCAGGGAGAATTAGAACAGGAAGAAGTGAGCCAGCAGAGATGGACACAAATGGCAGTCATGAGCCTAGGGGTATCTGCTGAAACCCATTCACACCCACCTCTGCCACAAGGCCCTGTGTTGGACTTCCTGGAAGAAATACCCTACACTTATCCTCACTCTGGGGAAACTGAAGAGAAGTAAATAAGGCAAGGGGATGAGAAATCTGGAATAGTATGAAGGTTGCTAGCATGGGGAAATACTCATGCTCAAATGGTCTCCTTCTGCCTTGGAAGACCAGAACAACTGTATTTTGATCATTCCAAAAAATGAGCCCAAACCTAACCATTGCTTGGGGGACAGTGTAGGAGCAGAACTGTAGCTCTGGCATGGAAAGGGACAGGACTGTGGACATGAGTGCAAACACCTTCCTACAGCTTCCAGGTGGGAGGAAATTATCTCACAAGATGGCCTGATGATAGATGCTGTCATAAAGCAGCATGACAAAAATCATTTTGAGAAAAAAAAAAGGCTTATTTCATCTTATAGCTTGTAATCTATCATCAAGAGAAATTAGGGCAGGAACTCAAAGCAAGAAGCTGGAGGCAGGAACTAACAGAGGCCATGGGTAAATGTTGCTTACTGACTTGCTACTCCTCATGGCTTACTCACCCTGCTTTCTTGTACATCTTGGGTCCACCTCACAGGAATGACACCACCCACAGTGGGCTGGGCCTTCCCACATCAATCATTAATCAAAAAAAATGTACTACAGACTTGCCTATAGGCAATCTAATGGAAACATTTTAACTGAAATTCTTCATTCTAGATAACTCCACCTTGTATCAAGTTGACAGAAAGAAAGAAAGAAAGAAAGAAAGAAAGAAAGAAAGGAAGAAAGAAAGAGAAGGGAAGGGAAGGGAAGGGAAGGGAAGGGAAGGGAAGGGAAGGGAAAAGAAAAAACAGAAAACCAGCCAGGACAGATAATGATTGCAAGGGCGCCC